AGAAAAATTGTACAGAACTCTGCAGCACAGTTTCTTTTTTGCCTGTTTTCTTTTTCTTTTTCTTTTTCTTTTTAAAGAAAGTCACGCTTTCCATTTGCTCCTCTCCTTCTCCTCTATTAACTGAGTTTCTCTGACAAAAAGGGTCAGAAATTCAATTAGGAAAAATTCACAGCCATTGCAAACATCTGCAGTTCAAAATAAATTAACAATTCCACTTGGGCAGCCTTCATACCTCCTGTGTCCTCTGGGCACGGCCGGGTCCGGCAGCCTCTGGTGTGCGCAGGGCTGAGAGCGCGTGCATCACTCTTGTGAGCTTTTATTGTAAGGGAGGGAATCTCACAGGACAAATGTGTAATGTTGTAGAAGCAACAAGGTTGCATGGATACCAGAACACAAACGGAGCGGCCTGCACTTTGAGAATTTGAATTCTTGGGAGGAACAGCTATCTCACTGTGTTTGGATGGTGTTTGGATGGAGCTTAATAAAATGGACTGCTCCAAGCTAGGCCTCCACAGGCTTCCAAGCTACAAACAATGAAGAATAATATCACAATTTTATGGTAGTTAGCATGGCTGAGTTACATCCTGGATGGTCTCCACAGAATCCCTGCGACTGGCTTTGATTTGAATCAGAAGGGTTTTACACCCACATTGCTGAGGATAAATGCACACCATGCACGGGGCTCTGGAGATTGAGCCCACAGCATATTCCTGGCATTTACAACACATTTCAGTGCAGGATACCCTAAGCTGCACCGGTACTGTTAGTTATTCAGCTGGATGGACTGAGCATTACTGACAAAGCACAGCCCATTTTTAATAGCTCTAACCACCAGGCAGAAGATATCTGCGACTTGCAGCAACTCCACCGCCCCACTGGGGTGGGGAGTGGGGAACAACTGCATCTAACCCACCAAAATAGCGGGCTGTGCTGGTATGCAGGAGCCCTTGCTCAATGCCTAAACATGGTATCTTGCTACCCAGGCTGGCAGGGCTGCTGGTCCCACTCAGCCCTGAAGGTGAAGCTCATGTCACTCAGCACTGAACAGCTCGGTAGGAAGGGCAGGGAGAGTGTGCATCGGAGTGTAACTGACTGCCTTTGCTACAAAACCTGGGCATTTCTCCAGGGAGAGCTGTGTCTATCCCTGCTGAAGTCAATGTGGGACAAGTGCAACAGCTTTATTGGACCCTGCCCCATTCACAGGACAGCTCAACCTATCCAAAAATACTGCAGCTTCAAATGCCAAGGTGCGCAGGTGGCACAGGCCATGGGCACCCCTCTTCTCACCTGCAGGGACACTGTAAAATGAGTCCCTTCTCATCACCCTGCTTAGCTGAAACCTCGGAGCAGATTTGCATCTCACATCTATTTAAGAAAACTATCAACCATGAAAGCATCTGGAAAGTCACACCAAGAAAAGTTTCAAAGAAAACAAAGCCTGGCCAGAAAGACGGAGCTGGCATAAGGATCCAAAAGGAAGAGCTGGAAAAGGAGGAAACAATCTTTGTGGTGCTGGAACAGCAGCTCTCCTGCTTGCTCTCCTTGCAGCTTTCCTGTTGCTGTTTCTGGGCCAGGTGTCAGGACAGAAGTGGTTTGCCTGCTGTCAGCACTATGCTTTGTAAACCGCCGCCTGTTCTGCACTGCACCTGTGACAGCTCTGTGCCTGTTCCTGAAGGCAGGTGGCACATGAGAGAAGGGAAGAAAACCTTCCCATGGCACGTGCCCCTCTGAACTCAAGCCAACAAAATGGTCAAAAGCAGAGAGAAACTACCCAAAGTGGGTGAGCTTCCTGGGGTTATGGGCTGAATTTGTATCCCCGGTGTTGTCCTGCGAGGCACTGAAATGGTGTGGGTCTCAACTGCCAGCATTTCTTGTGGTCTCTTTCCAGAGCCAACACACTCGTGGCTCTCAGTCCATCATCAGCTGCCGTGGCAGGATACAACCCCAGAGCACACAGAGCCCCACAGAGCCCCTGCAGTAAAGCAGGTCGCTTCTCCAAACCAACCCAACCCTCAACCCAGATGCTGCAGAAATGGGAACATCTCTCCCTGCCATGGCCGTGCCCTGACTGCCCACCTGCCTGTGCTCACGGCCACTGCTCCTCGCTCTGAGACACGACTTGGTCCCACATAGCTGGAGCTCCTCATGTCTCTAAAAGCCTGCATGGACTGAATGGAGCTCAGCAGGCGGTGCTGGGAGCCCAATGTGGGGCACCCTGCCCTCGTGCGTCACTGCTCGCAGAACACACGGGTGCTGCTGATGAAGCTGCATTTCGTGTCAAGGAGCGCCTGCATTCCTTCCCCCAAACCAAGCGCTGTGCAAACCCTGGAAATCCTCCCTCAGCACTCTGTCATAGTGTAATTCTATTATAATTCCTGACATTTGAGGGGCTTCTAGCAGCGTGTGCTTCAAATGAGACAAATGAAACATCTTGCTTGCCTTTTCCAGATAAATAAAGAAGTGCAAAATATGATTTTCTGACGCTCTGTTCTTTGTGTGGATTTTCTTTTCAGCCTATAAATACCACCCCGTGGTTACAGGTATTACGCAAAAAAGGAACCTTCATGTTCGGTGCACGTGTTCCATAGACTAGCTGACTGCAGAAAGGTGCCATGCAGAAGTCAGGATCAGCTTTTGTGATGTTTCTGCACTCCTTTGAGGACTCTTGGACTTCCATGGCCCAACGTTTGCACTTGTCTCTGAAACAAAAGGGAAGGAGACGGTGTGTTTCATAATCAGACAGACAGCCCAAATATAAATCTGCTTGCAGATCCCGTGTGAATTTTATCTGTATTCCCTGCTCCTTGGTCCTTTGGGATCCTACATATCTTGCATTATTATCAAATATTTGCAACAATCCATATGAACAGCCTGATGTTAAAAGCTACTCTGAGTGTAACTGGACCCGGAGGAGAGATGCTTATCTGAGCTTCGCAATGACAGATTCAGAAGAGCCGCCGATGCAGTATGCTTCTCATCAAGAGAGGGAAGAGCAGGAAAAACCAAAACTGCATCGATTTTTGAACAACAGACACAGTAGGAGTTATCGCTATGGCTTTCATAGAGGAGTACCACCGGAGAGGGCTCCAGCACTGCTGACCCCAGGCACATCACCCAGTGGGAGAAGGAAGGAGAGGAGCACACAAATGCGTGGTGCCAGACTCTATTTCCCTGTTTGGTTATTATTGCTTTTATGACATCACAGACTGTCAGAGCTGTCGCTTTAACCCAAAGAACTGATAAGTGCAGAGCAGACATTCCTTTTTTTTTTTTTTTTTTTTTTTTTTTTTTTAGCCAAAGCCATTTCGCTTTTTGCTCTGCAGTTCTGACCCCGTGCAGGAGGTGGGGGCGGCCGGGGAGCCCCGCAGTGCCCCGCAGCGCCCGGCTGGGGCACCCCGAGCTCCTCATTTTATTTATCAGAAGGCATTTGAGAATGGCTCCACACTGGCTCAGCGTTTTCCTTTTTCAAAAAAAAAAAAAGAAAAAAGAAAAAAAAATAAGAAAGAAAAAAAACCCCAACATTCTCATTTCTCAACATTCTCTCAACATTCTCCTTTCTCAAGTGCTTCCAAATCTTTTACATCTCTTTCCCTTTCCAACCCCCACCTTTTTCTTTCCCCCGTTGTGGTCCTGCAGACCACCCTGTAAGCCTACATGACATCACGAGGGAGAATTAAACGTACTTGAAAGGCCACTTCTGTTTTGGTGGGAACTTCTATGCAATTGCAAAGTGCCCATTAAAGCACAGGTTGTTTCCTAGAAGCATGTCCAAGCAGCAGCGCGCAGAGCCCTCCAGGGCTTCTAGAAAGCATTCGCTTTTGAAATGCTGAAGGAAATTCAGAGATGAAAGGATAAGTCTCCCTGGCTGTGCATTTACAGTCTATTGTCTTCCATGAAGGATAGTATCACTCCTCAGTTGTGTTATTGCAGTTAATCCACTTAAATGCTATTGGATTTTCAGATGAGCTGAATTCTTTGCATCTGCTATTAAGATGCTTTGTTTAGATGAGAAAGGGCCGTTATTTAAATCACAATGAGTTCAGGGAGATGTCAGGGAGCAGCAGCACCTTGTGCCAATCTGCGCCGGGAGAACGGGGGGCATCGGCGCTCCGGGAGGGCGGAGGATGCGAGAGAGGAGCGGAGCGGAGCGGAGCCGCCCCGCCCGCTGCTGGGTGTTGGGGGGGCGGCGCGGCCGCGGGGGGCGCAGCGGTTCCGCGGCCGCGGTGGGGAGCCCCGCACCCGCGTATGGCGCAGCCGCTGCCGCAGGGCGCCCGCTGCCTTTCGCTCTTATTTGGTTTTTGGGGGGGGGGGGGGGGGCTTTCTCCTTTGCAACGAAGGCTACGCTGCGAAAATAATTATATATATATATGTAGAGAGAGAGAACCCAACCCCAATCCACTGCCACCCTGCCCCTCCCCTTCTGCCAAAGGCGAGCCTTCCCCAATTTAAAAAAATAAAAAATAAAAATAACCCCAAGCCCTTCGCGATCATGGCGATCTCTTCCGCCTTATATAAAAGGCAGCGGGGGCACAAGGTGGATCCCGTCAGGTTACGGCGGCTGTTGCGCAGCAGCTCCCCCGCCCCGGTGCCGCAGAGAGCCCCGCAACCCCCAGCACTGCTCCGGCTCCTGATTTTTTTTTTTTTTTCCCTCCTTCCCCCCCCCCCTCTCTTTTTGCATGTGGGCAGACCCCTCTCGTAGGGCTGCAGCTGCCGGCGGCCCCCACGCCACGACTTGTTGTTGGTGGGAGGAGGGGCGGGGGAGGCGCCTGGCAGCGCGCAGCGCTAAATGCCGCTCCGGCGGCCGCACGCTGCAGACAGGCCCGGCTGCTGCGAGCCCGGAGTGCGCCCTCCGCCCGGAGTTGCAGTTCGTCTCCGCTCCCCGTGGGATTTAAATCTTCTTGCGTAGAGACAGATATATAGATATATATATAAATTTTTTTCCCCTTCCTTTCTTTCTCCTCTTTTTTTTTTTTTTTTTTTTTTTTTTTTTTTCCTCTCCCGTGCAAAGTGAGGAAGGAACTGCACCAAGGCAGCCCTCGAGATCTCTCATTATTGCTCCGATTTATCGCTGCTATTATTCATTAATTAATTCCCTTTTTTAACCTCAACCCTGAGCGGACCGTTCTCAGAGAAAGAAACGTTTCGATCCGTACCAGTAATTTTATTTTTCGCCCTTTTTGCGAGAAAAAAAGCGGGGAGAGGGTGCAGGGCGGCCCGGCGGGGCGGGGGGAGACGCCGGCAAATCCAGAGCTCCGGCGGTCCCGGCGCGGAGCGGCCGCGGGGGGAGGCGGGACCCAGCGCCGCCCGCCAGGGGGGCGAGCCGCCCCACACAGGTGATGGGCGTTTCGGCTGCGCTCCGGATCGACTCCTTGGGTTTCACTTTGGTCTGATCTAAGCAAATATGCAGAAGTACCGGCTGGTCTAGTCCTAAGAGCCAAGAGGAGCGAGCGAGAGCGGCAGAAAGGAGAGCGGCCGCGCTCCCGTTGGAGGGGAACGTACAAACAGCGGCAGCGCCGTAATCCCAGCACCGCCGCCCCGAGGCAGCCCCGAGCCACCCTGGATGCGGAGGACCCCCGAAGCCACCCCGCTGCCTTTCCCCTGAGGGATGGTACTGAATTTCTGCGCGGCAGGAGCCGGCCTGCAGCTCCTCTCCATCAGCGTTGCCTTCCCTCCGTATCTAAAGTGCACTAGACCGCGATGAGGACCTGGGCTTGCGTTTTGCTGATAGGTTTTGGCTACCTGTCCTTTACCTCCTGCGAGGTAGGTGCGAGAGCTTCGCCGCGTTCTCGGTGCCCGGGGGACGCCGCAGCCGGGGCTCGGGGCGGGGAAGGGCTGCGGCTGTGCCCACCTGGGGCCCGCGGGCATCCCCGCGCCTCGGCCCGGCCGGAGGCACCCGCCCAGCCCCGCGAGGCAGAAAGCAAGTTGCCATTTCGTGCGTGCCATCGGCACGGGGAATGACCGTGCATTCCGCTCCGGGGCTGTTGGCTACGCTTGAAAAAAATAATAATATATATATATAATATATATGCGTACCCACATGTTTATAGGATATATAATAGAGAGATTCACGCCCCCCGGGTACAAACGGGCTGCGGTTATTTGCAAACAGAGCGGGAGCGGAGCCGCCCGGCAGCGGCCGCCCCCGCGGCGCACAGCGCAGCGCGCAGCCCCCGCGGCACCGGCAGCGCTGCGGGAACGGCACGAGCGGGGTGCGGGCACGGGTTGGGTGCGGACCCCGAGCTGAGAGCAGACCGGGGGGTGAGGCTCGGGGGGCTGATCGGCGGGACCGCGTCCCGGGTTTCGCTACAGGTGCCGTCGGGCGGGGGCTGCGCGCCGCTCGGCGCTGCGGGGCGGCTCCAACTTTCCACGGCCCCGGGGCTGCGGGACCCTCTCCGCTCCGGGAGAACCGGGGCCGCTGCGAACTTTCAGCCCGTTCGGGCAAACTTCGGCGGGCGGGTCTGCGGGTGGGCTCCCAGCGGGGGCGGGGGGGCTCGGCTAGAACCGGCGCGGCTCCGGCGGGCACCGAGCCCGGCAGCCCGGAGCCCAACCGCGCCGAGGTGCCCGGCTGAGCCGTGGCGCAGCCCCGCGGGTGCGCTCCGGCGGGCGGCGGAGCCGGGGGCGAATCTTTCGCCCGCTCGATCCAAACGCGCCCCGCGGCACCCCGCGCCCTCTTGGAAACCCCGTGCCCATCCCCCGGCCGCGGAGCGCCGCGCGGGGCTGCGCGCTGACACGCGGTGTGTGTGTGTGTGTGTGTCTTTGAAGGAGGCCGAGATCCCGCAGGAGCTGATCGAGCGGCTGGCGCACAGCGAGATCCACAGCATCCGCGACTTGCAGCGCCTCCTGGAGATTGACTCCGTAGGTAAATTAGTCCCGTCCTCCTTCCTTCCGCGCCGGCGGCCGCCGCCGCCCCGGGGGGAGGCACCGTTCCGCGCCCCGCACCGCTCCGCTCCGCGCGGGGAGCTGTGCTGCCGAGGGAGGCGGCGGCCACGGGGCCGCTCGGGAGTTCAAACTTCTTGGGGTTCGGGGTGGAGAGGGACCCGGTGACCCTCAGTGTTTTCAGAGCTCTCCGTCTCTCGGCGGAGAAGAATTTCCGTAAGGTTTGCTGTTGTTCTTGCATTGCTCTGTTATCTTTAAACTACTGTCCTAGAGGTATTTAAAATATTTGAAACAATATTTATGAATGAAGTAATGTCTCTTCAAGTGCTGGGCTTTATTAAAAGGAAAATAAACTGTCCGCGCTGATTTTTGAGCAGGGACCTGTGCATGGAGCTCACCCTGACAAATAACACTTTCTCCAAAAGAAAATAGCGCGGGGTTATTTTCTGCATCATTAGGCATGCAAATGGGTGTAGTGAGAACGTGCAGTTCAAACAGATCGTTGCAGCAGTAAATCAGACGGAGCAGCACAGGATTGCCGGCTGGCTTATCGTTGGTTTCACTGGATGCACTTTGCTCCTGGTGATTTCGTGCCTTAGTTGTGAGAGAATAAACCCGACGCCTTTGATGTGCCCAAGGGAAACCCGCATCGCTCTGAGGAGCAAACATGGAGAGAAATGAATGAGTTCTTGCTTGCGTTGGTACGGGGCCATCTCTTTCTAAACCATATGCTGTGTGTTTTTGTAAGGGCTGTGCCAGGTTCAGTCACCTTCATTCAGAGCTGCAGGATCCTTCTAGAGTGCAACTCATCACCTTTGGTGTAGCATTGCATTAAGGAGCAGGAGGATGGCACACTCAGAAGGTGTCTTACAAACACAGCTTTCAATTTTCATGTGATTAGGGAGCAGAGTTTCCCATTATACTGAAAATGGGAGTATTTCTTTCTTGTGCAGTACTTTACCATAGAGACCAATTAGTAATTACCAGATCTGTTGGCATTGCTTTAATATTTTTGGAGAGCGGTGCTCCATCATCAGTGCAATTAAAGAAGCTTCCACAGAGGAGGAGGGGGATGCAGCGCACATCTCCCCACTGAATGCTGCTTTGGACCAGACAAGTGTGCTACTGCTGAAATCAGAGGAGGGCCGTGCTGCAGAAGGGCTGGAGCTGAGCGCTGGGATTTTGGAATGCTGTATTTGAGTCAGTGCTCTGTAGCTACCAGAGTACATCTGCATTTTCAGATAGGCCGTGCTTCATTTTTAAAGGAGAGCAAAAGTTCACAGGGCTCCACTGAGGCAAGCAGACAAGTGGTGGCGGGAGCTGAATCCATCAGTGCGTGTAGCAGGGGAGACAAATGTATTTCAGAGAAGAATTATTTACCTCGTGGCAAATATTAACCAGAGGATGTGTGACCAAAAACTGAAGAGGTCAGCCACGAGTTTACAGCTTCATTCTGCTGTTTCCATGCAACGTGTCAATTTAGAAACCATTAGAGAAACGAGGCATACATATTTCACTATTTCAATGTGAAATGGTAATGCCTTGAGACGTGAACTCAAAACAGTATTAAAAAATAAAATATTCAGCCTTTCAGCCTGTGCCTGCTCTGTTTGCACGCATGCTGAGCTGCACAGGCAGGGTTGGATCTCCACAGGCAGTTGCTGCTCCTTCCTACCTGTATGCTTTCTGGGCACGGTCTTTGCTGCTGTGAGTAATGCCTACTGAGGGGTTATCAGAGTGACTAATCCAGCATTGGAATTACCGTGTTTTCTTCAGCTAACAGGATTGGGCCTGTTTACTGTCTGTAATACAGGCTTGGCTTAGCAGATCAGCTGTGTTTTGCTTGCTGTTGGTGAGATGATCTTCCTGAAATCCGTGTATTTCTTTATGGCTGTCGTTGCATTTAGGGAAGGGCTGGTTTGGTGAGGGTCTGTGCAGTAGCTGTGTTTCTCTTTTATGGCATGTACTGATTTGAATCAAGGAACTGAATTAAACACTCCAGTGAATATCTTCTCCTTCGTCCCAGTGCATGGTGCTGCCAGCCCTTCTGCATGCGAGTAGCCCTGTTTAAACTCAGTGGGTGGACTCGAGAATTAAGAATGATCTTCTATGGGAAGAGTTTGCAGGATGGGGCATGCACGCAGAAAATGTCTGATATTATTGAGTAACAAGGCAGAATCTTGTGGAAAACGAAGGAAGAAGAGTCGTTTTCTTTCCTGCCATGCAAAGCATGCATTTTTAATTGGGAAAGTAAGTTTTGTAAGTCAGAGTGGGCAGGTTTTTCTTGTATTCTGACAGATTTGGTCGCTATATTGTAGCGCGGAGATGACTGATAACCCCCTTCATAAAATTAGAAACGACACCCCCAGACCATCTGGCGTATTACTTAAAGAAAAACACTACCCAACATGGAGCTTAGTATTGTTTTCATAAAAAGACAATCCAGGCCAGTTTGTCAGAGCCTGGTGCTACGTGTCCGATCTGAGGAGAAACCCCTGCGAAGGCAACACGAAAACGCTGCGTTCACATCAGAAAACAGCCTTCTATGTTAACACTGGGATCTGAGTCAGTGCTGGGTGTTCGTTGGCACGATGGAGAGCAGAAGCTGACCTTATTTAAAACAGAAAGCACGCACGATCCCAGGAAGTAGGCAGCTGCAGCGTGCAGAGTTCAGATTTACTACTAGCAGACTAACTCACCAAAACGGGGGCATTTCCTACATCCCGCCTCTGAAAGCTCTCCTTGGCTTTGCAGCGTGGTTTCTCTCCTCGCGCTTCACCTCTCCCATCTGTCCTGTGGGAGGCAGAGCTCATTTCATCACCTCTTATGTTTGCCTCCCGCTGGGAACAGACTTCCCCCAGTCGTCTCCCTGCGTGGGGAAGCTGGGTTGAGTGTGTTTCACTGCATGGTTTAAGGGCATCAACCGCAGGGTCAGCTTAGGCCACGCGAATGGAGCAGCCCACGAGTAAGAACTAGCAGAGCAGCTTTGTGCTAATGGAGGAACTTGTAAATGAACTGGTTGTGGGCTGCGTCCCAGTGCTCAGTCTATTGGAAAACCTTCTGTTGACTTTGTGGCTTTTGGGGTGGTGCACCAATTAGAGATGTTACAATGTGATGTTAGCTTGCCTTGCACCTCTTAAACATGATGAGAGGCGGGCATCTGCCTCCTGCATCCTGTGCTTTTCTGAGGCAGGTGAAGGATGCTCCTCTTCCCTTACAGTTGGCAGATCCCATCTAAGAAGGGGAAAAAAAACCTAAACAAAACAGGACCTTGCAGGCTGCTGCTTATATTTCCTTTAATAGATCAAAGTTGAAAACTTAATGACCTCTATTTCTGCATTTGAATGTCAGAAGGGCATATTTTGCATCAGTCAGAAAGGAGATCAAACAGATTGACGTTGCCTTGGGCTTTCTGGCTCTAGGACCGATTTGTAAGACAGACCATTTCACTTTATTGTACCTTACACCAAATTCCTGGAAGCAGGGAGACTGAGAATTTCCCCAGCTCCTGCAGTTGGTACTAGGAATCTTGGACCTACTCTTCTTGGATGGACATCCAAGTGACATCTAGAAGGGTTCGTGTTAGGGCTGCTTATGTTGGCGACTGTACCTCGCACATAAAGTTGCTCAGGAAGGAGATGGCAATGTGAAAATATAAAATGACAAATATAAAGTAACAGTAGTCTCAGGATGCTTTCCACTTGCTTTTTTTGGGAGAAGAGTAATCACGTATTGGCAGAATGTCGCAGGAGCTCTGTGATTTATACTCCATGACCTAGTGGAAAAATGCCAGCCTGACAAAAAAGAACAATTTCAGCTACACTAATGGATTGACCAAGGTTGATTGCAAGAGTTTTTCTACCCAGCATTGATATGTTGTCAGTACATGAAAGATTACAGAGAAATTTCTTGATCAGCTGCCATGAAAACATTTTTTTATTATTATTAAAATGTTAAAAAGGAACTTAATTAATCTGGCACAGTGCAGCATCCTCCATCTTTGCTTAGTGACAAGCAGTGTTCAATTTCTAAACCAAGAACTGCCCATTCCTGAGCTTTCTGCTCTCAGGCTCTTTTTGTGAGGTGCTCAGCACCCATAAACCCCCATTTTCTTTGCTAAGAGCTGGAAGATCTTATCCTGCAACTTCATGTTCCCAAGTCAATGCATTGGTGGGAAAAGCTGATACAAATTAGGGTGTGATTTGTTGAGTTTTTCTGGCAGGTTGTAGATTAAGCAGTGGATTTCTTTAAAGTCAGACTGAAGAGAGTTATTTTAATTCCTGTGGCATCGTTGTTTTAATGAAGTGCAATAAAGTCTTCTGTCTGCCTATTTAGAGTGATATATGGATCCAAAACTGTCTTTCTGATTTTTCAGTGCAGTGATTTTTCTTTGGACTTCATTGGGAAATGGAACTACTTCCAAATGCCAGTCGGGGTCAAGAGGAGGAGTGCCTTTCGCATTACAGTGTTGTCTGACACCAACCATGTGCTCCATAATGCTGTTTATTAAAGAAGAAAAAGAAACATCATTGCTCTGGCGATAGAAATAATACAATTTGTGTTGCATAATGCATTGGGGTTTGACTGGAACTTGTTTGGCAGTTTGCTGCGCTAGCTGCTTAGATTATTTTTTTTTAACCACCACGAGATGTGAACTTACAAAATGATATACATGCCTAAGATATGTAGTGAGACAGTGAGATACAGCATGAGCCAGAGGCCTTCTTCACCTTGGGAGTTGTCTTAGAAGCAACACATGCTCCTCGACGTGTCATTTTGCTTTATAAACATGATGATGGAATATGGCTAATTGCAGCTGAGTTGAGCAGTTAGATGTAAGCACATGGCTAAACATATTGGTTAACTGATCATACTATTCCTTTAGTCTTACTCTTTTCTTTAAACAAGAAAGCAAGGAATCAGTCATGCTAAAAGGAAGCTATGGCAGCATGTTGAATAAAGAGTTAGGCTCAGGCTGGCATTGCTGGCAGCTTCTCTTTTCAGCAAGATGGCTATGCCCACTGAGCTGTTAGGGTTAGCAGCATTAGTGTTGTCTTTAATCTTTTTTGAACTCTGAGTGTGCACAGAGATGCTTCCTGATCTGAGCCTTGCTTGGATCTCACACTCAGCAGTGTTCCTGCTCTGAGCCTTGCTTGGATCTCACACTCAGCAGAGTTCCTGCTGCTTTCTTTTGAGTATCACTTCATTGCCTCAAAGTGAGGGAGAGGCTGTGACAACCTGAACTTGCCAAGAAGGACGTCAGCATTAAGGTGTTGGGTGGCTGGGCGTTAGGAAGCAGAAAAAGGCTGGAGGAAGATCAGAACGGATCCTCATTTTGCATAACACCGTTTGGGGTCAGGTGCATGGCTCGCTGCCATTGGAATGGGATGCAGGAGACCTGGCTCCGTTCCCCAGCTCAGTTGCAAACTTCCTGTGGGATCTCAGACAAGCCATTCTGTTTACCCCACAGATGAGTTTTGTGGAGTATGGGGTGCAATAAAAGCAGAAATAAAATGCATTAGTCATTGCTGTGTTACATTACAAGACTGGGATTGCAAATAAGGCCCACAGTCAGCTAATCTGTTTGGTTCCAAAATTTCCCATTGCAGTCAATGGGAGGCAAGCGCTCTGCATTGGTGGAAGGAGCCTGCTTATCTGGTAGATTGAAACTCTGGATTTCACCCTGACTTATTTCAGACAAGGATCTATTCTGCTGATGTAGAAAAGCGGATTGATGGGGCTTTCTGGCCCTACTTTTTTGACTCCCGTTTAATCTTGTTTCAGCTACGTACAGTACTGTTTTCCAAATAGTGATGGTATATGTTCAGCATAGAGCTCTTCTTAAGGTGCTAGAGATATGTGTCTTAGCCAGCTCTGCAGGTTGTTCCATGAGTTGTCTCTCTTTAGGGCAGGATTTCTTGGAGGGAAAAGGGAAGAAGCAGGTTTATGTGTAGGGCATGCCTGTATGAAGAGCGTCACTAATAAAGCAGAGGTTGAAGCTACTTGCAGAGTCACAGGCAGCTGTGCATGCGAAGTGAACTGAAAGCAGGGAGCGTGACGGTGCAGAAGACGGAGGGATGTAGGCATAGCTCACATGGAGGGAGTGTAACCGAGTGCTGTGTAAAAACCATTGACAGTTTTTGGGTGCATTTGGCCGTTTGCTTTGGAACCGGCAGCAAAACTTTGAAACTGTCCATTGACATTATGGAGGAGGGCACTCCAAGAAGCAGAGTGCTAAATATCTTAGTTTGCTGTACTGAACTCTGCACGCAGTCCTCAGCGTGCTTACGTCTGCCTGACCCACTGTTTGCAGACTGTGCTTGGTGTTTTCAGAACCCCACTGCATGGGACGCGACCTGGGCTGTTTCACTTAACAAAACCAAATAGTTGTAGCAGTTATTTTGTTGTTTTTTTTACTGATAAATTAAATGCCAAGTTTTCAGTCTTTGCTTTTTCTCATGGCCCTTTAACCCATGTGGTAGGCTTATTTAGGGAACAAGACGAGCCTGGATGCAGTCCCAGAGTTTGCAGTAGCTTCAGATGCCCCTCCAAAGGTTAGGATACTTCACAGGGGATTTGTTCTGCAATGGAGAGGCTAAAAGGAAAGCCACGCTAGTTATTTGTGCTTTTGATTCTGTCCTGGTACAGTCGTGGAAACCAAGCTAGAGCAAACGTACAGAGGCAGCATTGTTGCTGCTGGGTGTGTAGCACTGTTTTCTACTGTAGCCTCATGCCAGAGCTTTATAAAACTTGTCACAACAAACATTTCCTATGAAATACTGTTGATCTTATTTCTACACCTTTCCAGTAAGAGAAGTTTTACTGTGCCTTTCAGATAACAAGTGCATGTGTCTTGCTTTAGGTCCAGTTCTGTATCATGAAGTGCGTGCTGTTTTGGGGGGCTTTTGGTAAAACGGGTGTTAGAATTATGCTGTGCATGCTTATATGTGGCATTTCATGTCTGTCTTCCCTGCCTTATACTCTTGTGTTGGTAGGAATTGCATTCGATTAGTTGCAGCACAATTTGGACTTGTGCAGTTTTGTATGTATGGAACAGCACTGTTAGCAACATTGCTGCTAGTAACGTTGCTGAGGTTTAATACTTTGTTTCCTCTTTCAGGATATGATGATGTTTCAGAGACAAACTTGAGGTCTTACAGTGTTCATTCTGCCAAACATGCGCAAGAGAACCGTCCTGTGCCCATTCGCAGAAAAAGAAGCATTGGTAAGAAGCAAGCTATTTGTTCTGGGGGAGGAAGAACAGAGGGGTGTTTTTGGTCAGCCAAGCAGGGCGTTTCGCTGGAAGAATGGGATGTGCACAAAAAGGAAAAAAGGCCATTTCTAGCTTCTGCTTTTCTGTTTGCACAAAATGAGCTGTTGCCCGAGAATCTGTCTGGTGGAGGTTGTCCGTAGCAGACAGACGAGCACAAATTCTTTACATTCACTTTCTTGTTGCAGCATGTTACAAAGCTAGACCTTGGTTAGAAAACGCTGTGATATTCAATGTATAATTCATAGTGTGGGGAACAACTACAGCCGTTTGCTTTAAAAAAAAAAAACATCAACAGTTGGTAGAGTTTTCAGTACAGAAGCTCCACAAAAGGAAACAGCTTGACTCTTTATTCAAAAGGAAAAAACAGTTTATCCAAAAAATTAAAAGCCATTGATGGAAACACTGGGACATTCATTTCGTCGTTGTGTAGAGCACCAGGCGTGTTTACAGGGGATTTTTTTCTTATTAAACACTAATGAAGGCAATCCAGTAAAGCCCAGATCCCCCATTAAAGAGATGCTAAGGAATGTTAGAGCGGTTTTTGTGAGCAGTGCTTGTTCATCTGATTAGATCTCTTTGACCATTTTACTTGACGGTGGAAAGCATCCACGTTCTTATCTATGTAAGGTAATTCAGAGTCAATGTATTCTAACAGTGAGCTGTGGCTGCCCGCAGTAGATAGCGCAGCGTGCTGTCGGCATGGATCTGCAGTGTGAATTGGCAAGATGCTCGTCACACTGAGTGCCTCTGGAGAGCAGCGGTTCTGAACCAGCCTGCTGCACTTGGCACCTTGCTCTGCTGGGTGTTGGATACCTCTCCGTGGCAGTCAGTGGGAACTGTATATGCTCAATAACGTGTAGGAGCTGCCTGCTATCTTGCTATATTGGATCCTTTAATTTTGTCGAGTTCGTGGCACTGGGGATTGAGAAGAAGAATTTCCACTCTGTTCAGATGACCAAAACGTAGCTCTTTAAAAACCAGGCCTGGATTTTCATGTAACAGTGCAGGCCAAGACTGAACTTCTTGTGCTTGAGGAGTAACTGAAGAAGTGCAGGCAGAATTACAGTTCCCTGCCCCGTATGACCCGAAGCTATCACTGCTTCCACTCAAAGGCAAAACATCCAAGCTGCCTTCAGGGAGCTGATCACCAAGTGAGCTATCCCTGAGATTGCTATTATTTTCTGGACCGTTTTAAATTACCAGTTTGACTTCCTAGGCAGTCCCTAGGTTGAGAACGATGCGTGGTTTGGGTTTCCCATGACGGCAATCACACAGTGCAGTGGGACGGAGCTGAGGGTGTCCCTGCTTGTTGCAGGGGAGTTGGACTGGATGACCTTTAAAGGTTCCTTCCAACTCAAACGATCTATGATTCTATGATTCCTCTTGTTCTGGTGCTCGTGTGGCTGAAGCTGCCAGCAACAAGCTCACCTAGAAGTGAACTTGTTGAGCTGCAAATGACACTGCAGGTTCCTCAGTCGTGCTACTCTTGTGGTTTTGCCTTATTCAAAAATCACAAATGAAATAAAACCCAGCGTGCACAGAGCTTTCAATTAGAACAAAATGGCTGTTGCTCACTGATGGCGTGTGGACCAGACTCCATATGAGGATGTTAAGGTTGTGGAAGTGGAAACTCAAGACTCAGAAGCTTCAAGCTGGCATGGGTTGCTTCCCAGCTCAGCCAATTTGAGTGTGATTAAAAATACCCTCAGTGCAGCTTCTGTGGCTGCATTTGCCAGGTATTGCATGTTGGTGTGATAATATATGTGTGCAGTGATTGCCCCAATACTATAACATAACAGCTGCTCTTCAGCAGTTGCTATCAGGCTGTATGGGAGGACTGGCTAAGGCGGGGAAGCCTCTTGCTGTCACTTCTGAAGAGCCAGGATTGCCTTACCTAGTGATATATACTCCGAGCTGTGCTGGGAGCCGGGCCTTTGTCATCATGTATTTTAGGGCTGGGTTTTCGGGAGCAAGTCCAGCTTTCCCCCAAGGCAGCACCCACAGTGCAATGGTAGGCAAACAGTGCTCAGCACCGGCGTGTTGGGAAGTGCTGGGTGCTGAGAACTGTCTCGCCCCGGGCTAAGGATGCCGCTCATAAATTGGCAGCGTACGGTACGTGGGTGCTGTGAGGTGAGAGCAGCCGTTCACCTGGAAGTGTGCATTTCTTCTGTTCGCAGAGGAAGCCATCCCGGCTGTCTGCAAAACACGGACGGTGATATATGAGATACCTCGGAGTCAGATTGATCCCACCTCGGCCAACTTCCTGATATGGCCGCCGTGCGTGGAGGTGAAGCGCTGCACTGGCTGCTGCAACACCAGCAGTGTGAAATGCCAGCCCTCACGGATACATCACAGAAGTGTCAAGGTGAGCAGAGCGGGGCTGCACAGCCCTGAGAACCTCCTCAGAAGTGTAGGAACTTCAGGTATCGTGGCTGTTCTGCGTGACCTGGATCTTTAATACCCGTCCTCTTAGCAAGGGGGGCTGGCTGCTATGCTCCTCTCTGTGTTGAGTGAGCCAAGGGCCTTTTCAAATGGCACGATTGCTGGAAAATCTTGGGTTTGGATTTGGTTTCCACAGGGTTTCCTTTAGGTTTTTTTCTTCTCTTAGTAATGAAAATAAAGTTGATTGTGCCTTTCCCATGATCTCGCACTGTACAAATCTTACAGTTAAGAAGATAAAATGACTCGAGGGGCATTGGACTTAAAAATTAAAAAAAAAAAAAACCAAAAAAACCCCAAATCTCAGTGTGGAATGCTGTTTTCTTAATTAAATATTATGCAGCTTAAATTGGGCTTTTATATTTGACAACATAACACTTTTGATCTGAAAAAAATGTGTTTCGAATTATCTTACCCCAGGGATAGAAGACTCAACGGCTTCATGCTGTATTTACTCATTAGACAAAATCCCTGTTGCAATTTTCCAGTAAATACTACGTGAAATATTTCTTGTGTTCATTAGGCTTCACTCTGTTCTAATTTTTATCAGTGTTTAAACAAGTAATGTTGATTTACATCTGCATGTAGGAGATTAGACTTAGCACTTACACTGCTAAAGCTCTGAGTTCGCGTTGCTTTGAGTATTTAAAGAGCAGAATTTGTTTAAAAAAAAAAGAAAAAAGAAACCAACCCACATTCTTGAACATAAAATTGCCCAGTGCAACACCCTGATCTCTCTACTTGGAATGGATTTCTTCTTGAGGAAGGTGCTGTTAACCCACGTAACGCTGTATGTTGTAAACACAAAGTGTGGCATCTGGGTCGGTGCAGAGTTTTTCATACACGCAGGCAGGCATCTGAGCAGGACTTCTTTTCTGAGCATCTGAAAAATGTTTTCACATCCAGATAAGCTGGAGAAACGTCTGAAGAGATTTCCTCGCTTTTTACAAAAGCAGTTATATTTTGCACTTGGTTGCTGCTTGTCCTGTGGTGGGGGCTTTGCAGCAACAATGAAAAATGAGGAAAAAATTGGAATTGTATCTAAGAGCTGAGCGCAAACCAAAGAAGTTGGAGCATTACAGTTGTAATAGGAGCTGAGCAGCTAAGTGCTTCACTGTTATATCTAGTGCTGTTACTTTGGGGTTTGGTTCAGCTTCCAGTTAATTTTGTGTCGCAACTAATAGATATAAAGCCGTTGGAGATGGCCAGCAAAGAGTTGTCCTGTGAACTGTCTTGGTGTTGTGGTAGGACTGACTAGCCCCATGCTTGTAACCTGTCCATGCAGTGCATGGGGGAAAGAGACTAAGCAGTCCTCAGTTCTTCAGGGACCCCAGGGGCTCTGTAGAAGCCTCAAGGATGCAGGCTGTAACTGGCAGCACCTTAGTGGGATGTCACTGCTGGGGCTGCTTCCCAGCACACAGAGTCTCGCACTCAGTGCTCTGATAATGCTTTGAGTGCTTTTAGATTTGCATTCATTTTAATAGGGCGCAAGCTAAAAGTAGTCTCAACTGAGCAGCTGCTCTTTGTGGCTGTGTAAATATATTGCCACCAGCGATATCAGTATATGTCAGTCAGCTTTGGAAGACATTTTTTTTTCCCCCCCAAAATCCAGGACTGCTCCAAATAGTCATTAAGTAGAAGGGGGAGGGGAGGGGGGAGGACAAGAGGTCAAGCAGGAACAGGATGTTCATTGTAAAGGTTGTAGGCTGACCCCACTGTCACACCAGAAATCTCTGAACAGGATCCATATTTATGCCCTCCAGAGTCATATCCTCTTGTAGCTTTGATATAATTGATGGTTTTATGAGCTTTTTGTCAATCTGATGTTCTGAGCTGAATGTCTGCTCATGCCATTAAGTAGCTGGCCCAGAGTAAGGGTCGCTGGAAAGGTAGGGGGGGAGTTCTTGGAGAGCCTCTCAGCTGTTCTGCAATGTGGTTGGAAAGCTGTCTTGTATTTTCCCCTGATGTCAGACTGCATAAAAGCCCTCTTTTGATTAAACATTGAAAAGGCTTTCCCCACTTCCTCTTCATTGACAAGGTAGTGAGATCATAGCTGGCCCGTTCACACTAGAGAAATGTTCACCCAGAAAGGTCAGCAAGTGGGTTTGCATCATCTAACAGGCTAAAGCAGAGGGTGTTTTCTTTGTTTTACTGAGGGCCTCTGTATTCAAGGTTAAGAGACAGCTGGAGCAGTGTGAGAGGAGCAGCGGAGGCGCTTGTACTGGGGCATTCCTTTCTTGGGGACATGACTTAAAGGCTATAGGGTTTCGCAATGTCCTCACTTTGCCTTCACAGAGCCATGTTCAGGTGCCCAGCATACTGCTGCTGGGCTCATGGAACTGGAGCTGCAGGGAGACTGCAAGCCAGGGGTGTTGGTGATGTGGGTTGGTGACATGACTTCCCCAAAACAAGTCCTCTGAGGTTTCCCCATTGTTGGGTGGAGCGGTGCAGGGGAGGTTCCCCTGCACTGTAACATGGGGAACCCCAGAGAGCACAGCTTCTGGTCCTAAAGAGCTCTGCTCAGCAAGCTGTAACAGCGCTGCAGGAATCTGATTGAGATGAAGGACCTGGCTGGGAGTTGCCCTTTGATAGGAAGGAATAAGTTACAGTTCTATCCTTCTGATAGAGAAACGGTAACAAAGATTGGTGAGGAGGGCGTTGTTATCTGTTACAAATATATTTCTTCTGTCTGCAGAAGCATTTCAGTAACATCTGCAGATTCTGTTGCTTCTGCACAGTGAGATGACATATTTACCAAGTACAGAACTGCAGTTTATTTGGGGGGTTTCTGAACTGAGTCTTGCCAGGATATTTCTTGTAATATTCAGCACAATTATTATTCACATTTTTGGTCAGAGTGGCAGAAAACAGTTAATATTGCAGAGCAAATGTGATGAGTAGCCAAGCTGAGTATTACTGTTGTTTGCAGCAATGCTTATTTCTAAACACAGAAACAACATAAATCACCTCAGCTCTGCCTTCTGCTTTGCCTTGGGCCATAGCCATAACAACTTCAGCCATTTCTGAGTATTCAGTACTGAGCTGATGGAGGAAATTTAACCTAGTATGTTCATACGGTAAATTAATACAGGGGAAAGGGAGCTGGAGGGAAGGGATGCTGCTCCTCAGCTGTCGCTTGGGTGCTGCTGGGAGGTTGTGAAGAGAAGGACAGAAACACAGGAGGTATTCAGCAGAGCTGCCCAGCGGTGTGTGCAGGTGAAATGGCTGTGTGTCGTGTCTGCAGCCTTACGGACGTTTTTCCTCAGTGACCCCTTCTATCAGTAGGGTAAGCAGCACTTTGATTTTAGCTGTGACCTAACAGAAGATTACTGCTGGTGGCAGGCAGGACCAGGGAGACCGAAGGTCAGTTTAGGAATGGAAGAAACAAGGGAAGCCCCAGTCCAAATAAAGTGAAGTGTTCAAGCATCTTCCCAACGTGCCCCACAGCAACCTCAGCCTCTCGTGCCTTTGGGGGCTGTGTTCCCAGCATCCTGCTGCCATGGCACGCTGACAGGGCTGCCCTGCCTGGGCTTCCCCCATTCCCACAGCAGTGGCAGCACCCAGGGCCTCGCTCCGTGCAAGGAGAGCAATCCCTGAGTGTCCGTGCACAGAGCTTCCCTTGGGGATTGGGCTGGCAGAGTGCCCTGCAAATGGAGTTTGAATGTGAGTGGCAGCCAGGCTGTGGGGCGGCCTGCCTTTGTGCACAGGGCAGCATGCTCAGCTGGCAGCGTGCCTCCTGGTGGGCACTGTGCCTGTCCCGCCATCCCTGGAGCATGCAGGGACTTGGCAGGTCCCTGCTGAGCCCCTCCAGTGCCTTTACGCCCTGTAGGCCTCTGTCTTCCTCACAGACCTGAGGGCGGTGAAGAAGGAGTTGTAAGGTGCTTGAATTTGGGATAAATGGTTAATCCCAAGGAGCGCCCTCAGTCCGTCATTTTTATTTCCCATCTTGTATTTAGCCATCAGCTTCGTGAGCTTTGCTGCTCTGTGTGTTGTGAGGAAGTTTCTATGCTGAGATTTCCATGCACGTTCCATCCCGTGGAACTGTCAGCTGTGTGCTAGGGCGGTTCTGGGTGCTGCTGCTTTCAGTGCTGTTTTCATCCCACTGTTACTCCCTGATCTCTCTCCTGCAGGAGCTCTAGGAGAGGTGTTTCCATGGCATTTCATAAGGCCACATGTGTTTTTCAGATTTTATTTTCATTTTAAGCTAACCACCACACCATACTGTAGAATGGGCTCTGCTGTGAATCAAACACAGTACCATTGGTTACACGCCACTTAGCCAAGCTGGTTTGTTGTAGTCTTTCTCTCTCTTAGTCCTTATATAGTAATCTTCTTCAGTTCTGGAGGGATTTGAGGTTGTGGTTTTTAGTTCTGTTGCATTAATGACAAGAAGAAGAAGCTGATGTTGGTATGAGCGGTTTGCTGAGGACTGGCCATCAAAGCAGTTGGTATTACATGTGACAGTAAGTGTACAAGATAAACACCAGGGACAAAAATACGAAGAAGAAAACAGACACTAGCAAAAGGCCAAATCCCACACTATTAGCATAGCCGTCCCTGTTTATAGCCACTGCAAATCTGACCTGCAGCCTTTATCGTTTTAGATTAGCATTAATTGGCAGCAGGTGCTAGGAGATGACATTGCATGGCAATTTAACTCAGTGTGTGCTGCTGCAGTTTTAATGTTTACAGCATACTGAAAAACATCATTCCTTCAACTTGCCTCGCGTGAAGTAGGGCAGTGAAACGTATGCTGGATTGTATTGTAGCTACAGTGTATTGAAAGCACAGAGATATAAACTGCTTCTTGAATTCTTTATCATCCTATTATTCAAAGCATCACCTTTTTTTTTTTTTTTTTAATGTTGTTTGATACCAAGTAGCCACAGAGACTGCATATAACTTTCAGTTTGGCAAGCAAAGCAAAACAGGGACAGACTTTAAAATGTTGGATTGCATTTTTTTTGTTGTGTGTAAGTTTCAACAAGGCTGATTTATTCCAACAGTTGTAATAAGCATGGCAGATCTGAAAGCTGTTCCATGATTGCTGGGTCTCTTTCTTTGTCTGTGGTGATGAAGGTGTCTTAATTACTGTTTGTTTTTGTAAATTTTAAGGATTAGTCATCCTCTCGTGCCAGATGACTCGGTTGTACCATACATTTTCATGTCTTCGCACTCAAGGACTTGTTGGAGTTGGGTCCTGATAGATTTTGAAGCATGCTGCTTTGACCCTTTGTTAATCTTCAGGCTAAAGCATTCTTGTGTGCCATGGCCAGATCTTAAACTGTTTATATGGAGATAGGAGAGTTTTTGAAGATACCTTTAATGTGGACATCTTAGTTAATGTATCTGTCTCTCCGCAACTTTTGTTTGCTGGGTAAATGAAAATAGTTTCCAGATCCTGTTGACAGAAGAGGCGGTGACTAAAACATGGATTTGAAATCCTGGCTCTATGCAAGCAATGGCAGATCTCCCATTGACTTCAGCAAGGCCAGGATTTTGCTCTCACTTCTGATACTTTCATTCAGAGGTCCCTGGTAGTTTGTGTACATCCAAAGAGCCAAAAGAGTGTTTCTGGGAACTGGGAATGTGATGTTTTTTCCAGCCACCACTCTCGTTCTTTGAGACTGTTGTTCCATTTTGGGGAGGGCTGGAGAATGGTTTTCATGGTTTGAAGGTTGATTTTGGAGCTTTGAAACCCTGCCAAGCACACCAGTAAACCATTACAAGGAGAGTGTGAATGCTTTGCTCAGGGGATTTTGCTTGGATTGGACCTTTTGGCTCTGTCGTTTAACTTCTCTAGAGGCAATCTGCCTCTCTCATCCTTCTGCTTCCTCACCTATCTCATTTATAACGCATACCTGTATTAAGTTGTCTTCCTGTTTGCCGGGACAGGCATGATGCAGTCCTTGTCGAGCAGTAGACAAATCACTGGTAGAACTGAGGAGCCATGATTTCATTTCAGTGCTTACCATTTCAACTGAACGGTTACCACCTACTCAACACAATTGTAAACTAAATTTAGATACTGTCTAGCCCTCTTTTCCCACTCTGTGCCATTTTCTGTTGCATGGCCGTGACCATCACGCCTGTTACTCTCAGCACAACTCCATGCCCAGCACCCCACAACCTGTCTGTGTCAGTGCCCCAGCCCAGCGGTGCTCCTGCTGCCTGCACTGTGTTCCTGCCCTGCCTGCTGTTCAGGTTTCCTTGCGTTCCTCCAGCCTGAATGTCCTTTTCTTTTGTGTTGGTTTTCTTTGCATTGAGACCCGCTGCTTCCCCAACGTGCTCCTTTCTCCAACCTCACCTTGCCCCCCAGACTTCTCTTTCAGAGGGTGCCGGTGCTTTGGCACAAAGTGGGGCAGTGCGGTTGGAAGCAGTTGGATGGATCAGAGAGGAGCAGCGTACCTGCCAGCCATCCACAAAAAAACAACCAAAGGCTGGATCCAGTTTGCATGTGGTTCCCTTGGACCTAACAACAGTGTGTGGGAGCTCTTGTGAGCAAGTCTTGAGTCGCTGCAAGGAATGAGTAGGATTGAGATTGCTGCTTTCTAGGCTGATACTCAGATGCAGGTCTCTGAAGGGTTGAGTACTTTACTTCCAGAGGACTCTGAAGACAACAATTTGTGATCTAGAAAATGTGTTACGATCTAACTGAATGCCTTTGTTGTTAGCCTTCAGCTTAAGAGCAGTGGTCAACGTGTACAGAACAGCGTGCTAAAAGTGGCAGTCTGCAAGAACCAACGCTGATTAGAGTTCCTGTATAAGTTTATTGTGATATATGTGAAAACTGGGTTGCCTGAAACATCAAAATGAAATGAATGGGAAATTATTTTATCTCGGGGGAAAAGTGTTTCAAAGTGCTGAACTTGAGTAAACAAATAGCCTGCGCAATAAGTGGTTACATGATGCACAATTAAGATAAAAGAAGATTATTATGCTAACATTTTATGTGGGTTTGGCTTCATTCAAAAATAGAGGTATATAGTTATCTGTCTTCAGTCCTGAACTATGTTAATGTATCTCAGTACGTACCTCATCGTATTTTATAGGTGGCAAAAGTGGAATATGTTAGAAAAAAGCCAAAATTAAAAGAAGTTCTGGTGAGATTAGAAGAGCATATGGAATGCACCTGTACATCAACAAATACTAATTCAGATTATAGAGAAGAAGAAACTGGTATGTTTTCCTTTTATTTTTGCATTAATGCTTATTTCATATAGAACTTGTTTTTTATTTTAGTAAAGAATGTAAAGCAAATCATGCTTCCAGTGAACAAAGTAGAGCCCCAGGTACTTCTCTGGGTGTTGGAGATGCAAAATTAGGAGCAATTTGTGCTAGATAAAAAAAGTTTGGACTTGAAGTTTAAATTCTGTCAATTCTCATTAGGTTAGACTTTAAATAAAAGGAAATGCCCAATATTGCTCAGGTCTTGCTTAATTAAGTTAAAGGTTGTCCTGTTGCAGCTTATTGGTGAACTCTGTTGCCTAATTTCTTTGGACTTTGTGGAGACAGAGTTAAGATTTACTTGACCTTGGGGAAAATATTCATGAAACGAATATAAAGCACTGAGGAGTAAATTTTATGTTCAGAAGTAATGAGTTTTGAAACAACAGTGCCTGTTTCTGTTGTTTTCTTACTTACACGTAGTCAAGAATTCATTGGCCAGTGTTAGGTTAAATGTGTGCTTGCCCTCTCAAGACGAAACTTAAATACTCACGGGAAGGTTATGTGGGGAACCGTACTTATTTTCAATGTGATTTTCATGAAGTGCCTAAAATTACTAGCTCAGATCCTCTGCCTAGGTGTAACGCAGGACTTGACACACACTCAGGAAACCCAGTAAAGTAACTGCAAAAGTTCACTTTCATCTCTTCCAGGAGCTTAGGAGGGGTTACAGTAGACTCAGCCCCAAAATTAGTGTCAGTGAAGAGCAAGTAAATGTAAGAGGAAAGTTGCTCAGTGGTGATGGGTTTCATAGGTGTCTGGGTAAGGACTGCCTCTCTGTAGCACGGAGGCATTAAACCTGGTCTAAGGAAATGTCAGCTCCAGTTGCTATGAACAGCAGAATTAGAATTTGAATAAAAGCAACGATGGGCCTCTGTTGTGATTTCTATTTGACGCTGATTTATAATCTGAGCAGAGCGTTTCAGCTCAAACTAGGTTGAGTTATGCGTAGACAAAAACACATTTTAAATGGTTATTTTTGTGTATATATGGTTTTAATATTTTTTTCTGTCTTGCATGTGGAAAAAAATGTTTGGTTAGATAAATTATGTGTGAAAGATGGGGTAGAAATTTAATGGAAGAATACAGTTTTCTAGGATTTAATAACTGATGGGAATAAAATCTGTACCAGCAAGTGGATGGTGAGCTGAAAATAGCTTAACTACAGAGCTGAAAGCGTGTGTTGAATACAGCATGGTAACAGTAATTATAGATGGATCTTCGTAATGACGTATGCAATGCCAGCTTCGTTTATTATTCCTTTACTTTCATATAATTACTTGATAAACCGAATGTCAAATCAGACGTTATGAAGTGACTACTTTAATGCGAAGGATAACGAGATTTCTTGGAAATGTAAACGGTTTGAGTATTTTTTACTTCAGTGTTCAACAAAATGCATTACCTTGGGGCTTTTGACCAGCCCTGCCCTTATGTTAACAGGAAGGCCTAGGGAATCAGGTAAAAAACGGAAACGAAAAAAGTTAAAACCAACATAAAACCTACTGGAACTATTTGATATTCAGGTAGGACTATATGCTGAACACCCTAATAGCACAAGTACTGGAAAACTTAATCAAATACCATCACTTCAACTTAATCACTGTTCAAAATCTTGACACTTGCTACCTCAAGGCTGCAAAGAGATTAGATTTGATTGGCTTTGATAATTCTACCTGCTGGTATTTTTCCTTTAAGCTCCACATCACCATCAGCATCTTACATTCTTGAGCTACTTCCTTTTCTTGCCTTTTTTTTTTTTTTTTTTCCATTTTTATTTTTTTTTGGAGGGTGCTAATACTTCAGCTTCTGAAATCTCAAGTTCCATCACCTCTGCTTTTGTTTCATTATTATTGATTTCTGAGGTCAAACATCACATAATAATGCATGAATGAATTGCCAGGTTACAAATTGTTGCGTTCCCATCATTGTCTATAAAACATTGAGTGTATGTATGTAGTTAAATATTATTCTTTGCATGGCCATCAAACCCTTGTTTTGGCATGAACTGGGATTGATTGTACATGCCCCTGAGGAGGAAGATGCTTAGAAATGCCACTTTTGTGTTGCAAGGCCCTGTGTTACTTACAGCACAAAATTAAGATCTTTTTTTTTTTTTTTTGCTCTGTTCAGTCTCAGTAGGATGATAACAGTCAGTCATCAAAATTCATGAGTTTTTCAGCATAGTGAAAAACTAACACCCTCTCAATGCAAAAAATGCCTGAAATCTGATGGGCAGCGTATTAGCAGTGTATGATGATGAGATATACATTCCAAATTGAATACGGAGTTTTCATTTCTTAATGACTTGAAATGATGCAAATGGCAGCACTTGCATTTGGTCCTAGCGTTTGGAGTGGGAATGATTTGGATTTTGCAGTGTATGTACCTAATGCCCTTATGATGGTGAACTGAACTTCAAACACCTCTTTTTGCACGTAAACTCCCAGTGGCAGTTTTCGTTTTTACTGATGTGTCTTTTCTAAAGAATGCTAAACTTGATATCCTGTTTCAGATTAACAGGTATTTATTGGGAGTAGTATGATAGAAGCAAAGATTTTCTAAAATTCAACCTTAAAAGTGCGCATGTAAACTCAATCAGAGCAGCATTTAGAGCTTCTTGCCCCAGGTTAGTGACTCTTCATGCAGAACAGCTTATTTTTTTTTTTAATTTTTAAGTCATCTACTTTGAGGATAGGACCTTTGATTCTAATCATAGAGTTATTGTATCTTTTTTCTCTCCTGCAGATGTAAGGTGAAAATAAGCTAGAAAAAAAACTTCTCTCTGGGACATGGATGTACATGGTTTGTTACATTCCTGAACCTACTATGTATGGTGCTTATTGACTGTATACTTTATTTGTTCTCCTGTGTGGAAAAAAAAAAAAAAAAAAAAAACTGGCTCAAAAGAACACTTAATGAGAACAAAGAGACAATGTACATTTGTTTAATGTGACATCAAAGCAAGTATTGTAGCACTCTGTGAAACAATAGGAAGCTTCCCTGTCCAAAAAAGAAAAAAAAAAAAAAAGAGAAAAAAACAGAAAAGAAAAAAGACAGTTGAATGAATGAATGGAGGATACCAAAAGTACCCAAAAACATGACAAAAATCTGAGTGAATAGTGGATTTCTGTCAGAGCAGTCAACGGTGCTTTACGTCAAGAAATGTGCCTGCGTTCTTGATGAAGATGGATGGACACTGATGGACTTCAGGCACAAAAAAAGCAGGAATGTATGAAATGATCAAATGCCACGCAAACACTATAGAACAATACATCCTTGCTTGGTGGTGTTTTAAAAGTCTATACAAAAAAGAAAAAAAAAAAAAAACCTTCTGGGGAGCCTTAAGTGGATTTTTTTTTTTTTTTTTTTTTTTTTTTTTACACCATAAAGTGATTATTAAGTTTTCTTTTTACTCTTTGCCTAGCTTTTTATTATCTCTTGGACTACATTTGCCAATAACACATATAAAAGACTGGTATAACAATAAGAACACAAAACATTGCGGTATTTCTCCTAGTGGGATGCAAACTAATGAGATGTATTAAAATAAAAGTGGTATACCTATGCATAATTTTCTAGACGTTTCTTGGTTTATGTTCCCCAACCTCCCCCGTAATTTAAAGCATTACGTGAAAAGGAACAAAGAGGAAAGAAAAGAGAGACATGCGTAAACAAATCATAGGATATCCATGCAAAAATCCTTTTTTTTTTTCCTTTAAGACTTATGCCAGTTGCCTACTAGTGATATTGTGTTAGCAATTGTCATTCTTATCAGTATACAGATACTTTTATTTCACATGTTGGAGCTGTGTGAAATGTACAAGTTCTTGTATCTGCATTGTACAATGTCATGGTGGCATGGGAACTACCTTGCTGCAAATATTTGAACAAAACCTAAAATTCTTTATTTTTGGTAAAATGTTATGCTTTATGTGTATTCAACAGAAATATGTGTTTTTGTAAAGGTGAAGTTTGTATTTTTATCTAAAAATTAACAGTTTTATATACCTGAGAAAGCCTGCTATGTTTTCTTGAACCAAAAAAAAAAAAAAAAAAGAAAAAAAAAAAAAAAAAGCATTTTGTGGTCATATTTTTGTAGTAGAATAGCCCAAATAACATCAAAATCTATTTTAATTATAGCAGGGCAGATAAAATAGTCTGGCACAAGCCCCTCTATTTTCAAAGTGCCAAAGGATTATGTGTTGAGCTCCCCCTGGATTGCAGTGGGAGCCACATGGCTAAATCCTGCTTTACTGCTTTGGAAATTCAGGGCTGTGCCAGATATGACATGGCTACTTGCTGGGCCAAAATCACTGCCCCACCCCAGTAGTTTGGATTATGCACCCTTTGTTTTATTTGGGTTATCTCATTGGATATGTAAAATGAACTACTGGATTCTTTTCTTTGTGAAACATCGGCAAAGAGATGAAAGAGTTTTCTCCTCTTAGTTTGGAATGAGAAAGAGTTTGTCTTGAGACAGCGTTTCCACTCAAATAAAAAATACCTTCAAGTGTGAGTGAGCTGCAGAACCTTAAAACAGCAAAAGAGAGAGTTTTAACCTTTCCATTTCTTTAAGTATAGTTCAGCCATCCCCCCATTCCTGTAGCTATGTCCACTTTCAACCAGACAAAGCAATGTTAGCTAACAGGCATTATTGGTTTCAGATGCTAATGCAGAGATAGTTCGTCACCGTTCTATTTTGTGGTCATTTTCCCAGTGTATTTGTTGAGCACCAAAACTGGAAATACATTTAACTAAGATTGTCTGTGCTTGTTTTCCACTAAGTGTACTGTTCACAATGTTATGCACATGAATGTATGTGTCTGCGTTTAAAGAAGTGTATAAAATGTAATTTATATATTTATGTTTCAGTGGGATGCCAATAATGTTGCTCCGTTCCTTTTTTGTTTTCTTTTCTTTTTTTTTTTTTTTTTGTCTGAAAGATATCTAATGAAAAAGAAATCATATATCCATTAAAATCATGTAGATGAAAAGCATTATGTGACCCACTCAGACACTGTGCAGGTATGAAAGGATGTCGAAGTCACTTAAGTGGAATAATTTGCAAAGAAACCTTTTGGAGAGTCCTACGGTCACACTGACAGAAGAGGTTGCATTGAAACGTGAGGGCCAGATTCCCTGGAGTAACTCCATTGACTATAATGGAGCTCTGCTGATTTACACCATCAGTGAGTCTGGCCTGTGTTAAGTTCTCGGGAAGAAAGCAAGCTCAGAGGCATGCGTTTTGCTGGTGCCAGCAAATAAGTGTGTTATGCCAAATTCAGCAAACCGGGAGAGAATGAAGACTGAATGGAGTCTTTTCCAGTAGTCGTTTGTGTGAGGCTTGTAGTGTCGAGTTAATTTTGTTACCAGGAATGAAACGCACATGAGCCTTTGCTCTCAAGCACAATGTTTATATGGCATGCAGCAGATAACACAAAAATCTCAGGGCTATATTCTCAGCTAGTATAAATTGGCAAATGTTTTTTACTTCAGCCGCCCCTAAGCTAATTTACATCAGATGAGGATCCAGTCCACAGTTCTAAAGCATGAGGAGCAGTGTCGTGACACACGTGCCCTGTGCTGTCGCCCGGCTGAGATATTACCCGGAGCTTGTGAGCATCGCAGGCCATGCTGTTGGGCCTTCTGTGAGCTGGCAGATAACAACCAGAAGGAAAACAGTAACTGTAAAGGTTGTGACACAGGAGACATCGATTCAAAGTTAAGTTGGACATTTCAGGGGCCATATCCTCAGCTGGTGTAAATCACCGTTGCTCCGTTGCCTGCAATGGAGCGGTACCAGCTTACACCACTTGAGGGGCTGGTCCTTCATTCTTGCTCATCCCTTTCACTCCTCGGTCCTGCAGGGATCTCAGATTGTCGTGTACTGTTAATGTAATCCTGTGTTCTCTAATACTTAAGCACAATAAGTGAATATAAGAATGAGTGTCAGACTTAACTTTGAATGTCCGAGCTCTGAAATGGTTTGTTTCACCATTGTGGCTGTAAATTAAACAGTTCTCTGTGCATCTGTGAATGCCGTGTCATACCTTCTTCCCATGTCTGTTGGAGTTGGACTCTGCCTGGGCTTCTGAAGTGCAGCACTTGGAGCGACAGAGGGAAGGGTGTGAGCAGTTGGAGCTGCCAGATACGTGATTGATAAGTGCTGTTTGTGGGGTGGGGTGCCAGCAGGGTGCTTAAGGAGGGACCCGAAGGTGGTAGTTGTTAGAAATCCCGTTCCCATGCCGTACTTCCATGCCTTGTTGTTTTTGTCCTTGCACAAACTAGGTGGAGGTTTGGGGGCAAAATGTTCTGTTTACATTCTGCAGTTGCTTCACCTGTCCGGAGATTCAGAGGTTGTTGGTCTGATGTTATCCTTTATGCGGTCTTTTCTGATCAAAAAGCATATGTGGAGGGAAGTGTCTGAATACACCTCATCATATGGTGCATGACTGCTGATTCTCTATTTAGTCAGTCTTTTGCATTTAATTCTGTGCTCCAACTTTTGGAGCTGTCCTTCAGTTGTTATTGAGTGAAATCAAAGATGATGTGCCAGTTTTCCTTCCTCTTCTGCCATCTTTCGTCCTACTTGGCATCTGCTTTGTTAGCACATGGTGACTACAGGCAGTTGCTCCTCTCCAGCCCTGGAGGTTCCTAGGCAGCTCCAGATCTTCTGTGTCTTTGAGCTCAGGCCTTTTATTCTACTTGGAACAGCATCTCATGCATCTCCTCCCTCCAGTGGGCTGCAGCATTCCAGCAATGAGGTTCTCTTGGCTGTCGTCCTCAGGTCCATATTTGCCTTCTGTGGGCTGTTTTCCAGCTCCTCTCTGCCTGACTTTCCCATCTCTCTGTTCCTCTCAGAAATAATTTTCCCTTCCTTGATTCTTTCTCATCACATATCTCTTTGCTCTGCCTCTGCCTGAGAGAACAGTCTTTGATCTGTTTATCTTGAAATCAATTGCTTTATCTAGGCATGTGCCCTGAGATCCTGTCTCCCAGGCTTACAAGCCTGTAACTGACCACACACGTGAAAAACAAATGCTCTTATATAGACACGTGTTTATGGAGAGAAGAAGATTCATCTTTGCATGTGGCAAAATAGTGCTGAAGGCTCCCTTAGAAGCTCTGTCCAATTACAGTAACACTGTACCTCTGGGATAGTGGAGTTGAAGCTCTTCAGACATCTGACAGCTCAATTAAACTCAGTATTCCTATTTATAATTTAATTTGGAAGTGCACCCAAAAGCAAAGATGAAGTTGCAAAGCTACATCAGATTTGCATGCTCATATTTGACTGTAAAGTGGAGGAAATAATGTTTATAAGCCCCTTCCATGGCTTTGAAACTCTCACCCTGAGTATTGATCTGGCCCTCTCTTGGGCTGAAAGTTTTCGTTGCTTTCAAACCTAAGCAAAGCAGAGGTACCTATTTGTTTTCAAGGAATTTGTTCTCTTGGTGTTTCCAACTCCACTGCTTCTAGAAAAGCAAATCTTAGAAACATAAAAATTGTTGGAACCAATGAGGTTCCCACTTACATGTGCTTTAATTTAACGTGGAAGAGAAAAGCTTGTTAGTGCTTTATTCCCCACAATTGAGCCTATAAGTATATCTATATATATAAATATTTAAATTTAAGTAATTGCTGTGTGTTTTCCCACATGTTAATAGAAGGTATTAGTCGTGTCACAGCTTTCCTATGCTGCTCTTTGCTGTAGAGTCTCTATGTGGCATAGCCTTGAATGGGTTTGTACTCATCCCACTGAAATAAAGAACTATTGTTATCCCATTTTAGGCGAGACCGAGGCATGGAGACGTGACTGTGCAAGGTCACACAGCAAGGCTATGGCAGAACCAGGGATAGGACTCAGATCTGAGTGCTCATCCAGTGCCCTAAATCACACGACCATCTTTCCTTTCCAAGAATGAATCCTTGCACCCTTAGAGATAAATACTGAAAAGATTGAGGGTAAGTCATTTTGCCTAATTATTGTGCATTGGATACATGATCCAAAAACTGCCATATCAAAGAATGTGGTGAGTGATGAAAATCCAGCTTTCTGCCCATGCAGTTATGCAGCCTTTTATGCTATCATGAGCTAGTCATTTCCTGCATCTCTAAGGAGCCAACCTTTTGTGACTCTGTAATGAAAGTTATGCACATAGAACAAATTAAGAGTCTGATTTTATGGGAATTTGTGAAAATTCAGTAGACAATTTTTCATTGTCCTTCCCCTCACTTCATTGTAATTCCTTCCTTTTATGGTGTGGGTAGCATTTCCTAAG